TTTGTTTGCTGTTGAATATTGTCTCATTATCACTTCCTGAGTTCCTGGGCTTTATACTTTTGGGAAGATATACTTTTGGGAAGACCTTGGCAAACACAAAGTTTGACTTTTTGCAAATCCACTCGTTCCGAAGTGAGTTACTTGTAGATTTCGCCAGCCTTTCGGCACGCAACGCATCGATTGATTCGCTTGCGAGGCACCGGGGGCGCCTCTGTGCGCAGCGAGTCCACGGGCTTCGCCTCCGCCTCTGCGTCGGCGGAGGCCCCGGGAATTTGAGGTTTCAGACCGCTGGACCAGAAAAATACATTTTTGATGCATTTTTTCGGGGGGGGGTTCTTTGGGGGGTGGGCCCAAATGCCTTATTTAAGCGGCCCCAAATGCCTCATTTAAGTGGCCCCCCTTACAGCCCCATTTGAGTTCTGAGAGCCAAATCGTACAAATCCCATGAGACACTACAGGTGCGGCACGTCAGTCAAGGGATTGGAACCCCTTTTGGTTTTGGGGTTTCCCTTTACACCAACCAAAGGGCATCCTCAACATATGTCCTCACTGAAGTTGCGTTGTTGTAATTGTTGTACGACGAGAAAGGCCGAAATCTGCGGTTCCTGGAAAAATATGCCCGCAAAAACATATTTGAAATCCTCGATTCTTGATTGGGGGGAGCAGCCTTTTGTAGTTGGAATCCGGATCACTTTTGCGAGCTCCCATTCTTCAACCCCTTGTCTCATTATTGTCAAGAACTCTTGGGGTCGGACTTCTGGGTCTCAGAATGCCTGAGAAGAACTTGGATATAGCACAAACCGAGAGGATTCCTGTAAGACACGTGCATGTGAATGTTGAAATTGAGTGAGTCAACCCCCCCTTTGTTCCCCAACAGCTGAAAGCTATGGGGTCTTTACTCAGATAAGCTCTGGAGTGGTTTGGAGCAGCTTTCAAGGATGGTTCCGAGGTTGTTGCGGGGCTGCTGGGTGGTTTTCAGCAGAGCAGGGAATGAGGGAACGACCCCATGGCTTCCTGCAAGGGAAACCCTAGGTTCATTCCGAAGCACCAGCAAGATATATATTTGTTTACCTTGGGCTTGATTTTGGTTCACGTCTCTTCCGACGCTCTCGGGACAGGACGTGGCAGGGTCGGCAGAGGCGGCAGCCAACGCCACGAAGTCGGCGGCCGCGGGGGCGGTGGTCACCGGGGAGGCAGAGGCGGATTTGACGGTGCCCTTCACGCGGTCCGCCATCAGGAGTCCATCGGGACGAAGGGTAAGGGACAGTCCCATCCAGGGTGCCTTCACCATTTTGAGTCTTGAAACATTCTGGGTAGATTGGTGGGTTTTGAAGGACACGTGTCAGTGCTGGCAAGCCAAGTGCCCAACGGAGCCACTTGTGTGGCTTCCTAGGTAAGAGGTCCATTTCATGTCGCGGTGGATCCTCGAATTCCCTGCAGTCAGTGGACCCGCTTTGTGGGTGATACCAAAGGAGGTGGTTCGGTAATTTGTGGGCATGTTCAAAAATGGGGGTTGGAACCCCCAAAATGTTTGGGTTCCTTTCGGTTTACCTTTAAAACAACCCATAAAATCGTACAAAAAGGGACGGCCCCATATGGGCTTTCCGAGATGGCCTCGGACCCAAGCCGGCGAGGAGCAGCACAGAAACCCGCACCGGCGAGGGCATGTCGCAGGCGCATTTTGTTTCCCCGAAACGGACGGCAGGGAACTCTCGTGGACGGGGAGGAAGGGTTCTACTAGGTTTCGAAGTCGGGTTCATTCTCATTGCATGGAGTCCCCGCTGAGTATGACTGGTGGTGGTGGTCGTGGTCGTGGTGGTGCTGGTGGTGGTGGTAGTAGCGGTGGTAGTGGTGGTGGTGGTGGTGGTGGTGGTGGTGGTGGTGGTGGTGGTAGTGGTGGTGGATGTTTCAGACAAACACAGACACACAGACACACAGACACACAGACACACAGACACACAGACACACAGACAGACACAGACACACAGACACACAGACACACAGACACACAGACACACAGACACACAGACACACAGACACACAGACACACAGACACACAGACACACAGACAGACAGACAGACAGACAGACACAGACAGACAGACAGACAGACAGACAGACAGACAGACAGACAGACAGACAGACAGACAGACAGACAGACAGACAGACAGACAGACAGACAGACAGACAGACAGACACAGACAGACAGACAGACAGACAGACAGACAGACAGACAGACAGACAGACAGACAGACAGACAGACAGACAGACAGACAGACAGACAGACAGACAGACAGACAGACAGACAGACAGACAGACAGACAGACAGACAGACAGACAGACAGACAGACAGACAGACAGACAGACAGACAGACAGACAGACAGACAGACAGACAGACAGACAGACAGACAGACAGACAGACAGACAGACAGACAGACAGACAGACAGACAGACAGACAGACAGACAGACAGACAGACAGACAGACAGACAGACAGACAGACAGACAGACAGACACACACACACACACACGATACTGTATGGAGTTTGGCTCGGATGATATAGTTGCCAGTTCTCATCCATTGACTCAGTCACGTTGTTGCAATCTTCAGAAATCACCCGTGGTCCGCAGGCCTGTCCCCCTTGGCAAGAAACAATCTTCCACAAGAGACCACGCGCCTACCCACACAACTACACAAAGACCCGTAGCAAACAGAGTATCCTCCTTGCAGAATTACCAAAATTCCACCAACACAACAAGAACACTCAGCACACCATAGCACGCCTACCCACACAACCACACGATGCGCCCTGCTCCGCACCACTTCCACCCCACCACCCCACCCAACCACCACGACCACCGCTGCCGCCGCCACGGCCACCACCACCACCACCACCACCACCACCACCACCACCACCACCACCACCACCACCACCACCACCACCACCACCACCACCACCATCCATGGCAAACGCAGCCTACAACCTATTCATGAAGTACGTAGAACCTCACCCGACCGATTGGATTATCAAACTGCGAGGCTGCCCATGTTATTTTTAGCTTCATGCCTGGGGTCCACCCCAGAAATGGTCTTTGCACCGAGCCACGGTTGTGAGAAATCGGGCTTGAGTATCACAATCTGTGATGCCTAGGGAATCCTCTTGCAAGTCACGAAGTAATCATGGGGATGGGAATCCTGAATCCCGGTACCCAAGAAATGCAAAACTTTCGGTTCAATCGCTCGGTGCCCTTTGTTTGGGTTGGTTTGTTTAAACAAAGCAAATAAAACAAGGAAGAAACAAAACGAACGGAAAACCGATGCCATGTCAGAAGTCCCCGCAAAAAGACGCGTCCACGCCACGTTTCGTGCGTTTGCCAAGCCACGGACCGAAGCCAGCGCAGGGCGTCAGCGAGGCCACGGCCTGCGCGCCGCCTTTGGAGATGACCAAAACGCCGGACGCCAAGGGCGCCGCGCTGGCGGCGGCAGAGGCGGGCGAGAACACGCCGATGTCGGGCGGCAGAGGTCGGTTTAAAGTCTCCGATCCCAAAACTACGCTCTTTCCAACAATCCTGGAAGTGGACAGGGGGTTCCCCTAGGCTAAATACGAAGCAGACACAGGAAAGACACTCGTGCTACTGTGGATAGTGACGCAAAATCCGCGAGTCTCGCACCGTTCAGAAGCCCCTGGAGTGTTGATTCCCCTGTAAATACCAATTCATAAACAATGGTCAATCATGGTTTCAAAGTGGTGCGAAATGGATTTGTGCAACCATCCACAGTATTGAATTTATGTGTACAGCACTACTCTGCGCACAACATATACCAAACTCACCTGTCGGGGGTAAAACGAGCTCGGGCCCGCTGGGGGATCTTTAATTTCCAGTTGGCACTGATGATGTCTCAAAAATCAGGAACCCCGGAATGGTTGCATTCCCTTTGGTTTCCAGTGAAATCCTTATAACAGGGGCGGTGTCTGAACCACTGCTTCAGACGCGGTTTCAAGGTGTAAGGTTTCTTCGCCCGAGCGGGGACAGCTTCCTTCGACTCCCGCTAAACTGCCCATAAGTTGTGTGAGAGGACGCAAACGTGTTGGTCTGCTTGTTAGCAATTCGCCATGCGTTTTGCCTGGTTTCTCTCTCTGAAGGGGGTTCGGAGATTTCTCCAAGCAAGTTGAATTGCTTGTTTTCTTTTTGTTGGCTCTATCTGTGTCTGTTTTTTTTGTGGGTACCCTTGTTGGTGGGTCTTGAAAGGGAAACCAGCGGCAAACCTGCCCATTTTGTGGGTCCTGCCTTGGAGGATTCCACTGGTCCAACCTGGAAGAGACACCCTCATGCAGGGTTCCACTTTTCACTACCCCAGGTGGAGCTGAACCAGATTATTTTTTCTGATCGGGAAATCGACCCCTGGGTTTCGTCTACCTCGTAGTCAAAAAGTGGAATCCCCTCCTGCTAAAGAAAAAAAACGGTTGCCCCAAAGCCCAAACCGGGGGGGGGTCCCGGGAAACCCGGAAATCCCGGGGGGGAGGGGGGGTTGGCACGGGCTCGCGAGCCGAAGGCTCTGGAGCTGGCCTTCCGCTACGCCGCCAACACGGCCATGGGCCGCGCCATGGCGGGGCCGTCGCCCGGCCGTTCGTCCTTTGGGGAACTGATGCGCGTTCCTGGGGATGGTCAAGCGACATCCGCTTCTTGCACTGACGAAGAAGAAAAAACAGCTGGAATGATACGATTTTCTTGTGAATACCAAGAAACGTTATGATTTAACCATGGTGTCATTTCGTGGCGCGAAATGGATTTGTCCATCCACAGTAAGTGAGGAGGAGTTAAAGCCACTCAACCAAACCACATAGATGGGAAGTAAATATGGGAAGGCGTGGGTATGGGTCAAATATACACCACCAGGAATCGGACCGCAGGTTTTAGTCCTTTCCATTTACCAGGGCAGCCCATTTTGGGTACCTATGTTTTACACACGGCCAAGTGAGGAGGGTACCTAAGGTCAAAACCAAACCAAGCCACCAACGAGATGGTCAGGAAAGGAAAGAGCGGAAGGCAGAAAGGCCTTGAGTAAGGCAAGGAGCTACAGAGCGGGGTCTTATTCCCTGTCCTTTTTGGCTTCGGGGAACCATGGGGTGTCTAAAGCAAGAGGCATCCATTCAGGGGGCTTTCTTTTTTGTGGGGGAACAACCATAGGTGGGCTCTCATGACCAGTGCCGGGTGGGGATCTTCCCACCGAGGACGAGGGGAAACCACACCAGCCACAAGCACGGGGGTGCCCTGTCCCTCTCGAACACCCTGCAAGGAATCTCACTTTGAACTGGGCCAAAACCTGAACATCACGCCGCAAGTGATGTTGAACGCGTTTGGCACCCTGCCAAACGTCAAAAGTGAAGTTCAGCACCACAAGGGCCCAAAAGAGAAGCCACAAACCTTCCAAGGGACCACATAGCTCGCGTTTTCGGAACGGCTCCCAACACGCCGTTGACGGCGCTCATCGTGCGAAACGCCAAAACGCCAGGCCAGCGCGCACGACCGCGCCAAGGAGCTGGCGCTCCAGTCCGCTGCGCAACAGGCGAGCAGTCGATGCCTTCGACACTCGGGGGGTGTTGCGTCCCGATTGTTGAATTGTTTTTTGAAACGGTATGGTTGCCTTTAACCGGTAATTAAGCCTTAGTTAGTTTGGATTGGTGATTTGGGGAATTGAACCCCTGGCTTTTGTGGATCTTCAACACGGAGCAGCACAAAGTTTGCTGTGGAAGAGCCTGACATGGTCAGAGCTTCAGCTTCACCGTGGCTCGCAGGCGTATTTGTCACCAACTTCGCTCAAGCACTCCACATGCGCGACAAATCGCAGACACTTCACTCTTTGGCTAAGACCCAAGCCCGTTTTGGAGGGGGATCTCTTGCATTCGAGCCACTCCAAAGCGGTTTCCCATTTTGGGCGCCCTCCTTCGACGTGGCTCGATTCGGCACGGACCAGCTGGGAGCGGCGCAGCCTAAAGAGGCCATGTTAGTTGATGGTAAGGCGTATACCGTATAAAAACCTTCATGAGAATGTTGGTAGAACCAACAGTCAATGGTTTTGGGCGCTGCTCAATTGGTGATTGGGATTTGGAGGTGTTCAGATAGTTTCCCATTTGCCTTCAGGAACCAGAACCCAATCCAAACACCCATTAAGGTCTACCTGATCGAGGGCGGTTGGTCAGCTAATGTCGATCCAGACACTCAACAGGAGGAAATTTATTTACACGTGCTTCGGTGAGCAGATCCCAGGCGACATTCTGTGCCCTTTTGACCGGGAACCCGGAAGGCCTTTTGTTCCCAGAATATCTCACCAGGATTCTGCTGCATTCCTTTCAACTTGGTTGGCCAGCAAAAAGCACTCTCATGTACTGACTTGTTGCCTTTGGTTTTCTTTTTGGAGCCAAAAAATGGCACCGACTCCAACAAATACACCCTTTGCCTGGCCTTCTTGCCCTTTTCATGGAGGCCCTTTTGGGTTTCCCTTTTGGGTTTCCCCATGTTTCCACAAGAAACACTGGCGTTCCCATTTCGCATTGAGAGCGGGATCCGCGTCTGCCGCACCATCCGCAGCATCCGTAACATCCGCACCATCTGCTCCATCCGCTCCATCCGCTCCATCCGCACCATCCGCACCATCCGCTCCATCCGCACGATCCGCACCATCCGCACCATCCGCTCCATCCGTTTCATCCGCATCCGCACCATCCATCCGCACCATCCGCACCATTCGCTCCATCCGCACCATCCGCGCCATCCGCACCATCAGCGCCATTCGCACCATCGGCACCATCCGCACCATCCGCACCATCCGCGCCATCCGCACCATCCGCACTATCCGCGCCATCCGCGCCATCCGCGCCATTCGCGCCATTCGCACCATCCGCTCCATCCGCACGATCCGCACCATCCGCACCATCCGCTCCATCCGTTTCATCCGCATCCGCACCATCCGCTCCATCCGCACCATCCGCACCATTCGCTCCATCCGCACCATCCGCGCCATCCGCACCATCAGCGCCATTCGCACCATCGGCACCATCCGCACCATCCGCACCATCCGCGCCATCCGCTCCATCCGTTTCATCCGCTCCGCGTTCGCGCCATTCGCACCATCGGCACCATCGGCACCATCCGCACCATCCGCACCATCCGCGCCATCTCCGCGCCATTTGCACCATCTGCACCATCCGCACCATCCGCACCACGCGCTCCATCGCTTCATCCGCACCATCCGCGCCATCCGCACCATCCGCACCATCCGCGCCATTCGCTCCATCCGCACCATCCGCGCCATTCGCACCATCGGCACCATCCGCACCATCCGCGCCATCCGCACCATCCGCACCATCCGCTCCGCGCCATCCGCGCCATTTGCACCATCTGCACCAGCTGCACCATCCGCACCATCCGCAATGTAGACGTACCAGATGCTTCTTTGTTTGCCTGCCACAAGAGTTTGGTACCTTTCGGCCCGTACAATGAAGACATCCAAGGTGCTTCTCTCTTTCGCCTTCTTCGGCCCTTTAGAACTTGTGCCGTGTTTGCCCATTCTTGCGGTGTTTAGCCGGGATTTGTTCCTTCTTTGACACAGCAGATGCTTCTGGTTATCTCTTCGCCTGCTGCGGCCCTTTTGAATTAGTGCTCCGGTGACCGCCCCCCAAATGTAGACCTAGCGGATGCTGAGTTCTTCGCCTTCTGTGGCAGAGTTTAGTGCCGTTTGGCCCGCGCTACACTCATGGCAGATTCGTCTGCCTGCTGTGGCTTGATTGAATTTGTACCGCGGTGCGCGCTCATTTTCAAAGGAAGTTCAGAAGAAATTCCGTGTTACGGCACTTAGTGGACGGCTGGCTCTCTGAGGCAGACGCCAAGAGAAGGAATAGGCACGTGGGAAAGAATAGCGCACGCGGGAATAGAAATGTGAACAAATTGAATTGCGCAGCCCTCTCCGGGTTTCGTCGGTGCTTTGGAATGCTCGAAAGTTAGCCTGATCGCAACGCCTGGTCGGAGCGATCTCGGCTCACCTGCGGACGCGTTCGAAGCGCGTTCAGATCGGGTTCGGCGCCGGACCCATTGGCACGGACGCCCGCGCTTTTTGCAAGCTGGGCTTTGCATGGCAGGCGCAGCGCTTTCGCAAGGCCAGGCGCAGATATTTCGTGGCAGGCGCAGTGATTTCGCGAGGTCGTGACAGGCGCAGCACTCGCGAGGTCAGGGCAGATTTCGCAGCAGGCGCAGCGCGTTCCCAAGGTCAGGTGCAGATTTCGTGGCAGGCGCAGCGCTTTGGCGAGGTCAGGCAAAGATTCCGTGGCATGCGCAGCACTCTTGCAAGTTAAGTTAAAGAGAGATATGAGGAAAGTGGAAAGATAAATCGAAAGATAGAAAGAGATGAGTTAGATTGATAAATAGATGGGTAGAGGGGGTCAGTAGGTAGGTGGATTGAAGGATAGAGACGAACAAGGTTGGATAGATGGATAGATAGATAGAGAGAGAGAGAGATAGAGAAGTAGATCGACATCAGCATTTTTCTGCTGCAGGAAGCCGTAGATAGATGTCTAGACAGGTACAGAGAGAGAGGGAGAGAGAGGTAGATATAGACAGATGCATAAGTAGATAGAGAAGATAGAACGCTAGTGATAGATAGAAAGAACAAGACAGTGGAAAGGTAAATGAAAAGATAAAGAGATAACATAGATTGAAACATAGATAGATGGGTAGAGGGCGTAGGGTAGACTAATATAGACAAGACAGGTTAGATAGACGGATGGGCCGACCTTTTTGTATCTCTCGCTCTCTATCTACCTAGCTACCTGTCTACTTATCTATCTATCTACCTGTTTATCTACGATGCCAACGAAATTTACCCGACCTTGCGAAAGTTCAGCGCTTGTCACGACATGTGTACTTGACCGCTTGATCGATAGGTAGAGAGATAGAGAAAGAAAGGTTTGAGATGAGAGAGAGAGTTTGAGAAGAGAGAAAGATCAGACCGATCAGACCGATAGGTTAAACGTCCGGAGGCCTTCGAGGCGGCCAAGGAGGAGGCCACCGCGCTGGCGAAGAAGGCGGCCACGGACCAAGCCGCCGCAGGGGTGCAGGCGGAGGGATCCGGTCGAAGCCGGGGATGGATCCGGGGGACGGAGGGAAGACATGGGTGGCTCGTCTTTTTTGTTGGGGGGACACCCTGGGGTAGGAGTTGCCTTTTTGCTTCCTTTAAAAACGACCAAAAAGGGGTACCTTCAAAAAGACATACCCACATAGGGAGCCCTGTGGCCCTGAAATTTCTCAAAATAGAATTCGGACCCCGTTTTTGGTTGGTTAAGGAGAAGCAACAAATCATACCGCCACAAGGAGACCTAATTATTTCTTGGACCACTTTGAGAAACATGACTGTGGATTTCATGACACAACATGAAAAAGAGTGACAATCGGCGAACTCAGATGGTTGAAACATCATTTCCTGCCAACTTTAGGGGAGGTTCCTTTCGGGTGTTCGAGGAAATAGAGGCAGCAGTGTGTTGGTGAATTCCCCGTGTACAAAACGAGGACTGACAATTAATTGGTGAACTCAGCAGGTGCACTGGTACACCCGAACTGTTGTCAAGGTGTCGTTTCAACTTGGCGATGTGAATCGAACCCCAGAAGGAGAGACCCGTTGGAAACAAATGTAATGTGGCTATGAAATGGAAACGGGAGCCCCGTGAAAAGCGGTTGGTGGACATGAATCCCCACAGGGTCCCCTATTATAGCGCATACCGCATACCGCCGCATACCCATTTGGTGTTTTCCAAAACCTACAGAAGGTGATCGACCGTGTGTTTCCCACCTTTGTTCATTTGTTAATTCGACTGAGAAATAAGAGTTGAGCAAAGAGACCACCAACTGAAGGTGGTGGCGTCAGCCTCTCGCCGACCCGCGCTTTCCTGAGTCGATTCGAGTCGGGGGAATCATTGCGTGCAGGAGTATGCAGACCAGATGGCGCAGAAGCAAGCCAAGGCCTGTTTGCTTTCACTCGGATTTGGCTGTTACCCTTTTTCCATCAATGGAAGCGGACAGTGACAGGATGGTCTTGGAGGACTAAAACATCCTTTTGAAAAGACAAACGTCCACTTCAATGGCTGGAGAAAGGGTGCTCAATTGCAACCAAAGCGAATCGACCTCTCGCACTATTTGAATTTCTGGTTGCTTTGGTCTCTTGTTGGGTTTGGACAACTTTAGTTGTAGGTCAAAGATAGGTACACAACATGGAACTCTGGCAAATGGAAACTAAGGACGAACAACTGCTGTCCTTGGTTTACTTTTGACCCATACCCAACCAAATGTGTGTTGGCTCAGAAAGCGAGACCTGAACTGACCGTTGCATTTTTGGGACGCTCGATTTGAGTGAGACCCAAACGCTCAGACCTCCAGAAGGGTGTTTTTGTGGCAAGGGTCAAGGTAGCCCGGTTTCTTGGGTTGGCTGCCTGCATAGGGTGAGAGCTCCTTCCTCATGAAACGTACTGTTGGCCATGGGCCCCCAAAGTCAACCAAACCCTTGCCTGGGTCCGGCCTGTCAGGTATGACAAATGGGGAGGCTAGAAGGGTGTCCTGTTCGTCCCAAGAGTCCACTGGAGGTCTGGTCCTGAGTGATATTCTGGGGAGTGTTAGAATAGGGATTTGGACACAGCCACAGGAACCCGGCGACCCAGCGTGGGTCAGTTGTGTGAATCGGAAGAATATCCATTGTAGTTGCTACGACGTGTTGACAATCCTGCTGGTGTGGCTGCGAGTTCACTTTGAAGATGGGAAAGACCTTGATCAGACAGGACGAGGTTGGTACCTTCCGGAAAAATAATATTTGCTTGAGAAGCTGAAGGCTCATGATGATTCTGGGTAGTGAGGTTTCAGAGAGAACATGCGGCGCAGATGCCGCAGAAAGCTTCGAAGAGCCGATTATGGATGATCCAACCCCCTACTCCCCGTTTATTCCATGTAAAGCCTTAACAAACCAACAGTGTCCTAGTGGATTTCCTTCCATTGCAAGAATAGCACCTGTTCTTGCATCGGGTCCCCCCGCCTAAACAAAAATGAAAGAGCAACCCGCTGGTTGCAATTGCAACTCTTGTTTCAGACACCCCAAAAAACTTACTCAAAGCCTTTCTGCCCCTTTCCTTTCCTGACCATCTCGTTGGTGGTTTGGTTTGGTTTTGACCTTCAGTACCCTCCTCACTTGGGTGGTCCTTTTTTGACGTCACTCTTTTTGTTGTGGTTGAAAGAGAAGCCAAAGGAAAACCACTCATGCCCGTCCATGTTCAACCAAACAAACCAACAAGTTGCATTTGAAGAAATTTGAAGGGCTTTGAAGCCAACCACCAGGAATGTGGGCGTGTATCGAAATTAAGACATGGAACTCCTTGAATTCTGTTATCCCTAAGCCTCCCCAAGGGTAACCTCAAAACAAAGGGCGCATCCATTTCAGCAACCCGCCAAAGTAGACTCGGAGGTGGTATGGCCCCTTTGGACACCCGCTTCCGTGCTGCCAAGGCGGCGCCTTTAGGGGATACCAAAAAGAACCCTAATCGACATCCCTCAAAATAGTGATTTGGACCCCCAACAATGAGATTCGATGTTCCCTGAGAAACTATATTATTTCACTGTTGGGTGGGGGGGGAAGGATGATCATCTTTGTGTTAGGTTGCTTTATGTGCTGCGCTTGTGTTCTTTGATGACACGTTTCTGTTGTAAACCTCCTGAATCTCTCTTTTGCATTTGTTTCAGACCCCCTAGCACCTCACTGGTGTCTTCCCATGTGCCGTGTATGCCCACGTTTGCCCACGTTTCCCCGTGCTTTTCCCGTCTTTCCCGTTTTCCCGCCCCTCCCCCCGCGGTTTTCCACAGGCCAAGGCCCTGGAGGTGGCCCGCGCCGCGGCGCGGGACATCGCGGAGGCCAACGCGCGGCGCAAGGCGCCGACCGACGCGCGACTCGGAGGGGTCGACGTGCTTTCGGTTCCCAAAAAAAGAAAATCCATGTTTCGGGCTTTTAGCTGCATCAACTTTCTTTAGCAGCTTTGGCTTTCGAGCCATTGCTCGAGAAATCTGTGTGTGTCGATCAAATTTGCTCAAGGCTGATGGACAAATCCCATGGAGCACCAGTTGGGATGTATGAAGCCCTGCAAATTTTGGGATACACCTCAGAACCGGTGCAGGATTTTGTCCATCCACAACAGGTGTCCTCTTTAGGTTAGTTTGGTTCAATTAGATATAGACCACTCGAAACCACCCAAGAAGGCCTGGAATGCCGATTCGATTCCCCTGCAACTTGGCGATTCCCAGCCATGTGGTTCCTTAGGTTTTTAGAGGTTTTGAGTTAGTTTAGTGGTACGTAGTTTGACTGGGAATAGCCCGGTTCCGATGCTTCAAAGGACCGCATTAATTTTTGTGGGTTTCGGGTAGATCATTTTTTATAGCCGGTCTTGTTTGGTCCCTGGAGAAAATCCGCAATCGGCACCAGGCATTGGTGGATTATCCCATTTGCCGGATTCCATTGGTACGTTTTGTGGATTTTGTCCATCAGTTGTAGAATTGAGTCAACGTTCGGGACCATCTCACTTGTTTGCCGAATATTGATGAACATCAAATATGCAAAACTCCTTGATTTAGGATTGAACCCTGAGCAAGTGCATCGGGACTTAAAATTCCTTGAAAGGGGGCGTTCAAGCAGAAATTTGGATGTCTTCCCTTTCAGGATTCGAGGTCCAATGGTATTGTTTTACCCAGAAGTCGACGAGCTTCGGCATGCTCGGGCTTCGAATCCCGCACACGGGATGTGAGCTTCCAAATCGGAACTCATAGGGTTCCCCTGAAGTCACGACGTATAAATCTGAAGTCAGCATGGTTGGAGTATCTAGATAGGTTGCCTGATTTTGGCTGGCAGCTCAAAACCAGAATGGACATCGACCGAACCGTGCCTGCCGCGCAACATGCAGCTTTAAATCTGAACCCAAACTTGTTTGCCGGCATGCTATATGCCGAGCCGAAAGAAGTTCAAGATCCGGTTCCCGCTCGGCTGCCCAATGCAAACCATGTTTATTCCTCACCAAGGACTGTACGACTGCGAAGGCGAAACAACGGCCAACACGCCGTGGATGGACAAAATCCTGCACCACCTCAGAAACCTTGGAATGATTTGTTTGCCTGTAAATGCCTTCCAACAGTCGGTTCCCATGGTTTCAAAATAGTACGAAATGGATTTCACAACCATCCACGGCGGGGTCCAAGCAAGGAGCAACGTTCTTTTGTTCCTGGTGCCGAAGGTTCAGTGTGACAATGCTCAGTATGGCTGTGGTCGGGTATTGGAGCGGATTGGGTCTTGGGGTTTTAGGCATCGGTTGGATCATCGTGTGAGTGAATTCGAATCAACAGGGCGAATGAAGCCGAAAGGGTTTGTCTGTTGAGTATAAAGTGCTGCAAAGCGTTGGTAAAATGGGAACCAAAAGGCAGACCACGAAAATGTACCCTTTGAGACAATCATATACCAGTGTAAGTCTCTAGGTGCAGCTGAAGGAACCTACCCAGGTAATGAGGGAAGCCACCACTCCTCGAGTTCCTGGACACATTTTAGTGACCTTGTTTGTTCAATTCACTTCCCAGCATTGGATTGGGGATGTGACCGGACGAGCAAATAAGTTCAGGATAGCTCTGACGCTGCACATCGGCGGCTCGTATCGGATTGAGGCTACCCCTTTTTGGGACCCATAGTTTTCGCGGGAAACAAGAAGGACAAACATCATTTGGGTCCCCTCTATGTTGGCACACACACACACACTCACATGCAATGGTCAATGGCTCGGGTCAGCTACAGCCCGCCCCTTTGCAAGACTCTCTTCGCGTAGTTTGGGGTTTCCAGCTCTCGCTTTCGCCGCAGAACCCGTCTTGCCCTTGCTGGGCAGCTAGGTTGCCAGACCTCCTGAAAGAACGCATCTCTTTTGTTTGCCCAATGGAGCCAATGGGCGGACAAGGTGAAGTCACATGAAAGCGGGCGGCCGAGTTGTTTGACGGGGGCCTTGCCTCAAGAAATGGACTCGGCGGTGTTGCGGGCTTCTCTTCCTTTTGGGAATTTGTTTGTTTGACGCAAAGGCCAGTTGGCCTGGGAAGTTTGCCGAAGTTCGACCAACATTCAAGCTTAAAAAAAAAACTGTGAGTGCCCTATGTTTGCTAGCGGCTCAGGTCATTTGTAGTCGCTTTGTGTTCGGCCATGGATCGACTAGATGGCATCAAGGTCGACATCCTGGTTGCCCAGCAGAGCTTGCAGAAATGGGTCCATGATGGAACAGAGTATGTTATCGGGCAGGCAGGTCAAGCATATACCATCAGGGTGAGCAGGGCTCGGCTACCTGTGCGGGCTGCTTCTGCCGATGGCCGTATGGCGCCGGGTCAACCGGTGGCCTTGCGTGCCTTTGTGGATGGCAAGCGGGTGCTTTGCCGAGAGGCAGACTTCCTTCCGCTTTGGCCGAAGAAGTCCAGGACGCTTGGGTTTGAGAAAGCTGAGGTTCAAGGCTGGGGAACCGGAACCACTCCAAGAAGCATGAAATTCAGGTTGAAGCATACAGGTCAGAAGGCACTGGTTCCCCAACTTGCATGCGACTCATGCTTTTTCAACAAATCCTGCAAAGTGGAACCTGTGGCTTGCCTCTTCAGCAAACGTTACGCGGCAGAAAAATGCTTCGGTCTATTTCACCTTGAGCCGCTCAACGCACGGATTTTCGACGGCTGCCCATCAACACCACTGCAGGACCTTCGAAGGATTCGAGGAACGTGTCCGTCGCACTCCCTTGGCGGACGGCGGCAGCGAGCGTTGCAATGACTTGCGGAGCTTTGAGTTTGTGATCCCGGAAGGCCGAGGATAGAAAGCAGCTGTTGGAATCAAACTGAGTTACTGATGTTGCCGTATGGGGGTTGATGAAAAGGTCCGTGATACATGGGATGCCCATTAAAAAAACAAAATCAAGATGAGATGTCCTGCTCAGCAGGCATATTGATCAACCCTTGTAATATATAATATATATGTTCTTACCTTGGTTGCCAAGGTCGATGCTCTTGCAATGGTTCAGGTAGTGTTCTTTTGCGTTATTTGTTTGGCAAACGTTGTTGGGTTCTGGTTTGGTGTTGTGTTTGACTTCGAGCCGTTGTTAAATTGCTTACATTGGCTTGGCTCCAAACAGCTTGAGATTCTGTTAAGAGACCTGGTGATCCCAGAGCATGTCTCAAAGCTGGTATTCAAACATACGTACACGAGGTGTGTTTGTTTTAGGCAAAACGGCGTTTGTCCTTCTTCTTTCCAACCCCAAATGTTGGTTTTGGGGACATGTGTTACTGCTTGCATTCTCGTCTCGACTTGGATGTCTTGTGGAGCCGGTAGACTTGCGTCATCACCAGATGTTCGGTGATAAGCAGCAGTTTCCGGTAGATGCCAGTGGTATGCCTTCCAAGACATGACCTTGGTGAAGGTCAAAAAAAAGAAATAGCTGCGGTTCAATCTGGTCTTTTCCTCGAAACTTTCTCTTGTGACTTCGCGCAGGCGAAGTGGCTTCCGGATCTGAAGAGCAAAGATGTCACTTGGAGAGTCTTGAGGTGCCCTCCTGTCCACCGACATGGAACCCACCAGAGGGCCTCTTTTGAAGGAAAATAGTCTTCTTGGACCCCTCAGTCAGGCATGTTAGTAACCAAGAGAATGTGCTTCTTCTGCTTCAGTGATTCGCGCGTTGTCCTGGTGTCATAGGTTCCCGGCCACTCTCACACTTCCTTCTCCCAGCAATTAGCAGTGCTTTCCTGAATTTCAGAAAGTCCCGTTAGTGCCCCATCAGCGTTCCTCTAATTCTAGTAGTAAAGGCCACTTGGCGTATGACATCGGATAGCACGACGGTAGCTTCCATTTGCTTAAGAGAATGCACATGTATTCCCTATGTTTAAAACACATCTATGACTGGAAATGGAGGGTCCCCTATTTTGAGGCAAAACCACATATGGCATGCGACATTCACTTATTCAACAGGGAAGTCGGGGATGCGTGAACCAGCACTTTGTAGATTGATCGGCTGAAAGCTGAGTAGTCTGAGGTGTGCAGGTGGAGATTTGGACTCTGGAGGAAATCAAGAGGAAGGTGAGTCACCATGCTTGCAGTGTGGATGTCAACCGGATTGACGACCCAAGCATGCCGACCCTAACCGCGATTGAGCGGAAAAGGCATTGGGGAGCAGGGGAGGCGCCTATAGCTACAAGGCCAGACCACGATCGAGAAATTTAACAGGACGCCTTCTGCAGGGAACAATTACATGGGTGTTTTGTAGGGTTCCTTTTTCTGGGGCTGTTTCGAAAAAGGAAGTAAAAGGAGCACCACGAGTTTGTGGGAGTCTACCTTTTTGAATAAAGATGTTTCAACAGCTGGCCCCCGAGGCCGGGAGAAGCAAGGACAATCGTGAGCCGCTCTGGCCCGGGATATCAGACCGATGTGGAGAAAGGCCTCAGGAAAGGCGATCTTCTTGATACCATCACCATCCGCTACGTTGGCCGCTACTCAGCGAAAAACGTTAGAACACGCATGTGTGTGTGTGTGTGTGTTGTGCGTGTGTTGTGTGTGTGTGTGTGGTTGTGTGTTGTGTTGTGTGTTGTGTGTGTGTGTGGTTGTGTGTTGTGTTGTGTGTTGTGTGTGTGTGTGTGTGGTTGTGTGTGTGTGTGTGGTTGTGTGTTGGGTTGTGTTGCGTTGTGTGTTGTGTTGTGTTGGGTTGTGTTGCGTTGTGTGTTGTGTTGTGTTGTGTTGTGTTGGGTTGTGTTGCGTTGTGTTGTGTGTTTGTGTGTCTCTGTGTCGCCTCTGTGTCTCTGTGTGTCTCTGTGTGTCTCTGTGTATTTCTGTGTGTCTCTGTGTGTTTCTGTGTGTCTCTGTGTGTCTCTGTGTGTCTGAGTGTCTT